GGGCATTAAACGCAAGGTCAATCGCGAGAATCATCAGTTTCAAGAAGTGGAAGTGTGGACTAACAAGTACTGTTTTGTGCAACAGAACAACAGCATTATTTGCCTTTTGTGCAATGGACTAATAGCAGTGCCAAAAGAATTCAACCTGAAGCGACATCATGAAAGCCAACACAAGGATTTCCTTCTGCAAGGTATGGAACGCAAACGAAAAATCGAATCGTTACGACGATCACTAATCAGCCAACAAAATGTGTTCAAGAAACAATCTGGAGAATTGGATGCGGCTGTTGAAGTCAGCCTAGAAATATCTGCTTTAATAGCCAAGAATGGGAAACCTTTCACAGATGGCGATATGATAAGAAAGTGTCTTATCATCGCAAGTAAGATGTGTCCTGAGAAGACAGTGTTTTCAAACAATCAGTCTTAACCACATGACGATACAACAAAGAATCTCGCAAATTGCATCAGACATCGCATTAATCACTTGGAGATCCGGCCCCCAGTCAGTAAACTTAATCCTAATTTGGCCCTTCTTCAGAAAAGGTTGTGCATCCCTGCTTATAAATAAAAGTATACTTGCTTACTGGAGACTAAATTCAATAAAATAAAATAAAAAAACCATTCAAAAGTCCAGCATAATTGTTTAATAACATAAGAACGTTTTCAAATGCATTAAGCATCCATCATCAGTTATTTCTCTAAAATCGAATGAGAAATTAAAAAAATTACGCAAACGAATAAATATTAATAAGTAACACGTTATTAATAAAAGCGTTACATACAAAAAAATTTGGTATGTTTAAAATAATAAATAAATAAATTATCTATCTATCTATCAAGGGTCAACTTAAGCTTAATTAAGCCTTTATATCACAAAAAGATTTCCAAGCGGACGAAAGCCCGTTGGCATCACTATAGTTAATGCACTGCATGCTCTTCTGTGCCCTCTGGATTTCCAATTTTTCCAGATACTTTACTGTGTGCTTAGATCTAGTAGCTTTTATGATAGAGGCCTGGTCCCAGAAGACCGTGATGTCTTGTGCATTAAATATAGGGATGCACCCCTTCTATCTTCCACCACAGAGCAAAAACAGCATACTATTTACATTGAGTCAGTCAGTGGCTAACTATTCTTTATGCATGTAATGCTTTCTCATCATAATTAGGCTACTAAATCTCATGTTACAAAAAATTTACATATGTTGAATTGTAATAAATGGTTATGGGTCTTCTATTGCCTGTCCTAGTTTGATCTGGTAAACCTATGCTTAATGCCCTGACATGCATTAATTTATTAAAAAAATATAACAATTTATTTATTTATTTCGTATTTAATTCAGTTATATGTTTTATAAGCATTAAATCACCAGAGTATATGGATTATGAGCCTATAACAATTTAAATATTTTAAGAAAATACAAGATTTAACAATCAAAATACAATATTAATAATTTTGAAATTATTGATAATAGTTATAAATTCATAATACTCATTAGTTGTCATTTAGAAGTTATTTAGCAATGTTCATTTAATTTGATTTTTATTGAATTTAGTTTTAAAAAGAGAAAAATTATTCTCAAGATGGAATACAAAAAATAAAATCAAAATTACTCTTTGATTTTATTTTGTTGTTCGTGAAATTTTTTCAATCAGTCAAGATAGGATAATAAAACTTGCAAATCCTGAATATTTTGAAATCCATACTTACTATATTGTGGATTAACAAACATTACATAACTGGCAACTATACAGTAGAACCCCTCTAATCTGTCACCTTTGGGACTGGAGGTATGGTCGGAACGCAAAAAAGGTCGGATTATCAGAAAAAAGTAAAATAAACAATCTTCCCCTTTGTCCAGTCTTTGTAGCACTGCTAATTTTTCATTTAATGAAAGAGTAACGTGTTTACGTTTCACTCCTGACATGTTGAAAACACACACAAAACTGTACATGTACACACAATGTAAAACATATACTGTAACGAACACAGAAAAACACCACGGACGGTGAGTCACCGACGAGTCGGGACAAGTTTCTTGACTCCGACCACGGTCGGATTAACTGGAGTGACGGACTAGAGGGGTTCTACTGTATTAACTAATATTACTACATAATGTTTATTAGTATATTGTGTCTTTTCTGGCTGGTAGTAGTTTTGTCCATTATCAATGTGCCCAACCAGTAAAGAAATTGTTCAGTACACTAATGAGAAGGAAGAGCGAGGCAACCAAAATATCCGTAAAATCACAAGAGTTTGGATTGGATTTCAATTCGGAACCCTCACAGATGCAGCAAATAATTTACCACGAACCATCTGACAAAACCTAAAACAATTATTCAAAATTAAATTTCAAATTCATTTAAAGTTTAATTTATTAATAAGAATTTGATAACTTCTTTGAATTTTTGATTCTGTAAAATACATCTTGGAAAAGTCAATCTTTTTCTTCGAACGACACCAACACATTTATCTTCCTAATTTATTTCTCTCTTTTTAAGATAAATTTTTAAATTACATAATTTTAAAACATATTTTACCTGTAGCATTTGCGGTAGTCTTGATATATCTAACTTGCAACAAATTCAGATCCGTATCGTCCACGTCGTCGGGATGGGGTTTGAAAACGAGTTCGATTTCATTCGGCGCTCCGGGACCGATTTCCACGTCCTGTCCGACGGCTTCCAACGTCTCGGATTCCGTTCCGCCGTCGTGATCGTCCCGTTCTCTCGAAGGCAAATCCACTTCCAATCTCAACTTCTGTTTCTTACGGGGCTGCGACGACGCACCGTCGACGGAGACCGGCACCGGAATGGAAACGGGTATGGAGACGGGAACGGTGGGATTCGGCTTGGACGCCGGAACGGGTAGCGGAACGGGCAAGGAACCGTTCTCTTCGCCAAACTGTTTCTTAACTTTTTGATTTGTTCGATTCAATACTTGCATTCTCATTCCTTCTTCTATGCTATGAGCAACAGCCTGACTATGTTGTACATTCAATTCTGCCAATTCTCTTTCTTGATGAGCTTCGTATTCTTCTCTACTGGGATAAATCTTCGAGATAAGCATGTCAAAATTCGGATCGGGACGTAACGATCTTTTCGAAACAAGTTTTTTTCTACAGTTCGGACATTCTTTGTTTCCACTTCTCAGAGCTGTTATAATGCATTCTTGACAGAAGCGATGCAAACACTCTTTGGTTGTCATGGTATTTTTTAATAAATCTAAACAAATAGGGCATCTCAACTCGGTACGAAGACTTCTAGGTAACACTGCTATTTCTGTATTGTCTGTAATTAAATCCTGAGGAGTTCTATGCAATTCGTACATACTTAATTCCCACGTTTTGTTGGACGATTGCGAATCCGAACACGACATTGTTGTCTGTTTCTTCTTGAATGTTTTTATCGTTATTTCCCTATCTGTAGGGATATATTCCTATCTTTGTCAAAACATAACATTTAAATAAAATGTAAATCGATAAAAGACTTAAATAAATTAATTTAAAATAATTTTTGTATAAATGGCTGGTAATAAATATATATAATTCGATCAAATATTTTAAAATTATTTCAAAATTTTTCCTTTTAATTCTTACTTTTTTCCCTTTCTACGGAATATGTAGTAAAAGCTGTCTTTCTCGAGGGAATTTCCCTGAATTTACAATCAATCTGAATGTGACGTCACATAAAATTTTTGTTAGGACGAATAAAATAATTTCTTTCAAAATACTTTTAAATTTGCGCTATTTTTAAATTTTTAAATTTTATATATTCTGAATTTTAGTAAAATTTGTTTTGTTTTTATATATTGTGATATTATTTTAATTCGATACGAATTTAGGTGTATTTCTTAGTAAAATTCGTCCAATATTTAAACATATTTCGTCAAAAATTTTCATGTCTGAAACAGATGAAATGATTTTTATTTTATTTTCAAATTTGCTTTAATATATTTTACGATAATCAAATTTATTAAAAATTTATAACTTCACATACAGAATTATTGTTAAAAAATGCTGGCAATATATGATCAAAAATACTCATTTTTAGTATAAAAATAGATAAGTTTTAGACAAAGCGCATTGAACTCTTTCCCTCATTAACAGCCCTTTTTCCGCCCTGTAAGCAATAAGAGAACCTTTATTCCTTGCCCATGGCAGGTTCGATCCAAAGTCCTAGAATTCTAGGACCTTGGATCGAACCTGCCATGGGCAAGGAATAAAGGAATATTATGGAAGGGCAAGGAATAAAAGCATCTGGTTCGATCGGCATAATTTTGATTTGACTTAATGGTCGAAGGTCGAGCAGCGGCACAGATTACAGAGACTCTCTAATCTGCTGACAGGAGTTTTTCTACTATTCGCCCATGAAAACTTTTAGATTTGTAACATATTTTTAATTTGCAAGTAGATTTGGTGAAACCTTTAAAACACAGCAGCGTTTTGGCGATTAAAAAAAAAATACAGTACAGTAATACCCCGACTTACGATTTTCAAATCTCGTCGATTCGTCTTTTGTTTGAGCGCCACGCAACTCTTGATTACTCATTACCCCACACTATTGTTCAGCTTACATGTTCGGACGTGTCGCGCGGAATCGACACATAGCTACAATTTATTTTGTTATTTATTTCTGTGTTTGTTATATCTACGGAGACTTGAGAGACTCTATGTGGTGATTTCTTGTAACCGTGAACGAATCAAAAGNTTTGTGTTTCCACTTTTTTCCCGAGACTACAAATATTCGAGTACAAAGTAACCGGTTTCGACTTATTTCTACTTAAGAAGTAGTTAAATAATTAAGCGGTTAGGGAATTGGGGTTATAAACAAAACCCTGATGAAAGAGCCGAAATTTTACTTAAACAAAAGCCTAACCGAACCAATCTCTAGCCGAGTATAGTGGTACTGATTTCTTCGAAATATTAGATGTAATAAAGACAGACATTTTTCCTGTTCAACGAGAGTGACCGAAAAGTTGTAAATTTTGGAAATTTTTGTGGACAACACCTGGTCCTAAAACGAATTAGTTGGAAAACAAACGACGGACAATCTATTAAGTTTAACATATTTAGACTTTTACAGCTATGGTGAGAAACTTTAAAATTTCCATGAACCCTGTCGCGTCTTTTGAGATATACTAGTGATGCGAATAAACAGGCATTTGACATTGACCGGTATGGGCACCCTCGGGATTTGGCAGCCCGCGTGCATGTACAGAAAGCTATCATAAAAACATACAGGTAAATTCTTATCGGTTGGGTTAAGTTATAAATCTACTCGTGATTCGCGTATTCGGGCGAGGGCGGCCAAATGTCTAGCGGGCGGGCGGCTAACAGCCCGAAACCGGTCCCAGATAGAATTGGATGCGTTATACGTGTAGCAGCCACCCGAGGTCCTAGGCTTCCACCGGCTAAACCGGGTGACGTTGGTGCTCTGTAAAGCGCGTGCGCGAATCTGGCTTTTTGGGTGGTGACAATACAGCGCTTCCATTCCACTACTCCGCCACTAATATTCGAATATACAATAGCGATCTTATTATTTTTTTTCACGTGTAGTATAGAAATTTGTAATAAGATACATAATGCGGTTATAATAAAATATTGTGCGGTTATTTTCATATAATTAACATTTAGTATTTATATTAGTGACCACATGTCGCTACATCTTCATATATTTTCTCAAAACGTTTACTTTCCGCCTACTTTAATAAATATTAAAAATTTCTGGAAGACTTATGAAAATAGAGTGAAATGATAAGCAAGAGTAGAATGTTCACGATATTTTTTAAAAGTTAATTAAATTTTACTTGCAGTCTCAAATGAGCATTTATGTCAGAAATCGAAGGAAAAATAAATTGTTAGTCGTGTTAACTGCGAAATCTCGTCTCGGGTCGTCAAAGTCGAAGAGATTTTTTCCTGACAACTGGATTATAATGTGATTTGGCTATTTTCTGTTTATTGGCTCACATCTTCATAATTTTCGATTAGAAAGAATATACAGAATAAATAATAGAAACAATTCGAGAATATTCTAGATGTTCAAGAACACAAATGTATCTCCGTCAGACAAAAACATGCAGTTGCTGACTTCAGTATGACGCAATGAAAATTCTCTGGATAAATTAGTAGTGTTGTAACGAATAGTATATTCGGCCTCAGGCCGAATATCGAATATTCGGCCAGGAGCGTGGCCGAATAGCCGAATATTCGGCCAAACTATTCGGCTTGATTAACGCACGTACGAAAATTGGCGCGCAAACCGCATTATGGCAAGGATCCTGCTCTCTGTTGGCCCGCTGTCACTACGCTTCGCCAATCGCGTTAATTCTTGGCAGTTGTAGCGGACAGACAAGAGTGTCATGGAAGTATGTGATAAATGATGATATCAAATGTGGATAACAATGAAATGACCTACACGTGTAAATAACGGAAAAAGAACAGAGAAGGACCGCGAAGTAAAAATGTGAAAATAAATATGAAATTGAGTCAATAACATAATCGAACAAGTCGAGGCAGCTTATTGCATGAAATTCGCGCCCGTCAATGCCAAACAATTGTTGTCATAGACTTCGGAAAGCTAAATGCTTGTAATGTAAGTCACTTAGCGTGCACGGGCGAAAGCCTGGGGCCGTTCGGGCTATCAAGCTGTCTCGAATCTGTGAAATCATAACTGTGACTTATATCGACGTCCTATCTGTCTCTTTTCTCCGTTATCACCAGGCTGAGTCACGTAATTGTAAAATGGGAACTCTACGACGGAAAAGTGACGAATCGAAAGTATCGTGAGCGCGTATTATGATGTATGCACAGGCATACATGGATTAGAGCGATAGAGGAAAGAGAAAGGGAAGAGCAAAGACGAGCGCTTAAAAAGAAGGATAGGCAGGGTCAGACCCTCAGATGTGCGAGGATTCTCCAACGATAGACGTGTACGTGTGCTGATATTTGTAATTATAAATTGTGAATACATGTGACTAATATTATTTTCTTTTTTATTTTGTGCATGCTACAAGTTATAAATAAATATAAACAAACAACACTAACTCGATAACATAAATCTAAATACCAAAATGATTAATTTACTGTGTTTTTGTTATTTATTTATCCTGTTTTTAAGTATTCGGTATTCAGCCGAATAGTGATTAAATATTCGGTATTCGGCCGAATAGTGAAAAATAGGCCGAATAGGCCGAATACCGAATAGTAACCGAATATTCGTTACATCACTATAAATTAGTAATGTAACAAGCAATTATTTACTGTGACATCGTCACAATGCCAGGCTGCAATTTTTAATTTATTTAATTTAAAATATATGTTCTCCGCCTCAAATTAGCAGTGTCTTGTCCCTGTACATTGTACTTGTCCTGTCAGCAATAGAGTCGTGCCGGTCATCCATTTAGAGGAAAATTTTTGAAATGAAATAATTGCCCGTTCTATTTGAACTATTCAATATGGTTACACTTTTCTAATCTACACATTAAATTAATGTTTTATTATTTTTCATAGAGATTAGCAAACATATCGGATGTTGAAATAATAATTTTGAATATCAAATCATATTTTTATCGCAAAATTGTGATAAAAATACAATTTACCATTCAACATTATCTGCCTAAAGTCGATAAGATCTTTATATAAAATTAAAATTTTGTTTTAGAATAATTAATTCGAAAATGCGTAAATTTATTCTGATTTCGATTTGAATAATGAAATCCTAGATGTGGAATAGCAATAGCGACAAAAATCAGTTACCAAAAGAATAAGTTAAATGATGTGGAAGTAATTAAATAAGTTTATCCGCCAATTAGATTAAATGCATTTTATCGAATTTGGATATATTTTTAATGAAATTAATCGGCGGTATTTTTTGGAATAAATCGTATTACATGACTTAGGACGCCACAAAAATGTAAAGGCGCCACAGCTAGCATCAGTTAAAGGGGAAAATAAATAGACGTATTATGTATATATCTAGAGTTTTCGCGTGAAGATTCGCGGATTATTCAATGCACAAGGCATCTAGTACTATAGGAAAAGGGGAAAGCGCAAAAATTCTTGAACCGGTCCTGGATAGAACAAACGTTCTAAATCCTTAAAAATTCATTTCTGCTTTTGCAGAGAGATTATTCGCATATAATAAAACTGTCTGCAATATAACAGTACTAAAACTATGAATCTTGAATAAGTACTAAAGAAAAAATCGAAATAATATAGGCTATACACATTTATCATTTATTGATTTATATTCAAACGTGCTATTATTTACTGTAACATCGTTAAAATGCCGGGCTAAAATTTTTCGTCCCAATGTTCTCGATTTTAGTATTATCTTGCGCCTGTATATTATACATTTCCTGTTAATAATAGAGTCATGCCGGTCTTCTATCTCACTCCATTCTCGAGATTAAGGAAAGCCAGACGAACGCTAATGGGATTTTATA